CCTGAAATCTTGCGGCGCCTCCCCCTCCCCTGGTATACTCTCCTCCGCCCCCGCCCCACGCCCGCTTCACTCCCGCACGCGGACCTCCCGGCTGCTGTCCTGCCTCCGTGGACTCCTCCGTGGTTCCTGGTCCAGCTCCCTCAGCCCTTCGCCTCCTCACCTCGGTCAGGGGATCCGCGGGGGCCGCGTCTCCCGACGTATCTCAGGAGACGCCCTTTCCCTGTGCGCCCAGGACTTGGTGAAACTTCTGAGGCGCCCGCGGTGAAATGGATTTAACCCGAGGCGTCTTGCTCCGGCTCTTGCTCCTGGCTTCCAGCCTCGGACCCGGCGCTGTGCCGCTCAGAGCAGCTCACAGAAAACCAGGTAATGCGCTCGGTACTCCCGGGAGCATCACGTCCGGAGCGCCCAGGTCCCCGTCTCTAGCGAGGACCCAAAGCGGGCAACGCACCGCCTCTCTCACCCCTGACCAGCGGCACTTAACTGGGTTCTTCTCTGCCCAGAGCCGAGAAAAGACGCCAGCCTCGCCCTCCCCCTCCCAGGACAGGCGGTTCCAGGGATATTTGTTTGTTAAAAGAATGATCTGTTTTCCAGACACAGTAGAGGTGGAGGGCTCTGTGTTTGACCACAGAGAGCTGAGAGGTGGGGCAGCGATCACGCTGTCTCAATTACAAGGATTGCAACTGTGCAAGAAAAGTCAAACAGCTCCTCCTGTGTCTCTAAACAGCTTATTGAATTCATATTGTTCAGAGCCCAGCGATTTCCTGTTAAGTGTCTGAAGATTTGCCTGGTGTACCCTATGCCCATCTCCAGTCCTTCCCACGCACTATGTAGGGATGTGGCCTCTGCTGTTAGGATCCTCTTCCACTCTGGGGCCATTTTCTCAGAAAGGAGCACCCAACGGGTTAATTTTTACCGTGATTTGAGCTCCTGTCTTTGCTCTGCGACTTAAATAAAGATGTACAGCGTTGTGGGCTATTACAGTGAACTGCTGAGAACTCGAAACACACTAACTTGCATTTTCTCTAGTTACACAGGTAGAAAGTCTTACTGTGTTTTTTCCTACTTTGGTTTGGCCTGTGTGGTGAGATTATTCAAAGTAGAACATTCTAAGCCAGAAAGTTCTAAACATTGTTTCTCGGATAATGATTTTTATTCCTCTTTGCTGAGACTATATTTAGAATTCTGAAAAATCTGTTTTTTCTTAGTTTACTTTGCAAGCCGGGTTGTCTTATGGTAGTAATTACATCGTATGAACAATGGAAAACAATATAACTATTTGAATGCAGTCTGCAAAACTTTGCAGAAAGTACAGTTTGTCTTCACAAATAATGTTGCTGTTAGAAAGAGACAAACAGGGGAAATTTATCAGAGGGCAAAGAAAATAATCTTGGCAGGTTCCCATATGGCTGCTTAAATATTTTCACTGCTCCAGGATCTCTCCACTTGGAAATATGACTTGTTGCCTTTTTGCTCTGGAAGATGCCTTCACTCTTCAAGCTGTATGTATTATCACCTGTGCCTTGCTACCTGCCTTGAAATTTATAATTGTTATTATAATCTGAAGCACACTTAAATTATGAGCGATTTTAGTCCCACCGATCATTCACTTTGGAGAAAATAGCAGCAGTCCCAGGTGATATTATATTAAATTGTTTCTTTCCTACATGCACGCAGACACATATCTTCAAGGATTTCAATGAAGGGCTTCTTTCTAACTTTCCTCCTTAAGATACCCACACATGGTCATCTGCATTCTGTGGGTTTATTTACATAAAACCATCCAGTCACAATTTTTGAACAATGCCATAGTTATACCTGTAGTTCTTAAGCGTGAGCAGTGTATGTAGTGTTCTTTTAAGGATAGATTTCAATTCGTTTAAGCAGAATTTTTTTAAAAAGTATTTCACAAAAGCCTGCTGTGTAAAAACTGCTCATATGGTTCACCATATTTCCTTTCTTATTTTCTGTAGTTCCTCTCCTACAGATACTTCCTACCTGGTTCATCCAGGGTTTCATTCTGTTATTCATGCCATGAATATGCCATGTTGGTCTCTTTGGTTTTATTTGAAGCATAGATAGGGTTTTGATAGTGGAAACTCTACATTTTAAATATTTTAGCACATTAAATATATCAAATTTGAGGTAAAAGGAGTGTTTGGACTAGGTTCAGCCTAGGAGAGTTTTTCATTACTTTATAATTTTATCCAGACACTGGCTCTCAGGTTGGAAGGCTGCTCAGATTAAAATGACAGCTACTTCATAAACTTTGGGGGCAAATATCCTCCTGGGCTCATTTACAACCCTTGGAAAGATTAGTTTTTGATCTGGAGAATTGGTCCAGATTAAAGACTGAATGTGCCCCACTTGGCTCCGATGTGAACAGCAGCCAGCTGATTTATAATCTTCCCCAGACACCAGCAGGTCTTGCTAGTATCCATACAGGAGTTTCTTTGTACCTTGTTTCCTCAATAGAAATTGATTTGTGTGCAGTACTTTGAAGGTGGCATGGCTACCCCTAAGGTGTACTGCAACAGTCCTGTTTTATTTGGATGACCCTATCTTTCTCCTCACCCTCCCTAAATCTCCCTTTGACAAGTTTGGCTTTGTTGGAGAAGTCTTGGATTCAAAATCCACCTGAAAATTTCCCATCCCCATCTACTTCTGGTGAGAAAAAACCAAGCAGCAGCTTCAATTATGAGTCTCATTTGGGTCCAACATAGACAACTTTTCCCTCCACCAAGATAGCTACTCCTCTGTCACTGAGTGTTAATAAAGAAACCACTGCATTTGCTGAGACTCACAAGAAAGAACAGTTCTCAAGTTAAGTCAAATTAAATAATAATGAGCATTAATTAATTGCTTTCTACACTGTCCTAAGAACTTGACACATACTCATTTATTTAATCAACCCAACAGGTCTGCGAGATGGGTATTATTATTACCCCTGTTTAACTGAAGAGGAAATTGTGGCTTAGAGAAATTAAATATCTCACCTAGGGTCACCCAACTAGTAAGAGCCTGAATGGGAATGCAGGCTCTGATACCCAGGAGCAGAAAGGAGTCCTTAGCAGCCCGGTTAGGAGAGGTGTGCAACCCCTCAGGGAGGGCGTCTTCCCCCTGGATGAATGGGGGGGCTCCCAAATTCGAATCACAGACCTGGCAGGAAGTGAAACACCCTATTGTACAGCCCGGCTGAGCATGACCAAGGGACTTGCTCAAGTTAATATCAGAAGCTCAGCTGGACTAGTACCCAGACCCCCTTGAGTGGTTTCCAGTTCTTCCCTTACCCAGAGTCTCACCAGGACATGCAGGGAGGACTGTTGTGCCTCTGATGTAGGGCAGGGGGGAGGGAAAAGGAAATCCAGACACATCTGCTGGGACCAGCATGGGTCAAGCCACGTGTGTTCCCACAGGCAGATTGCTAACTTAACGTGTTAGCTTAACTCTCTGGCACAGAGAGAGGGGCTGGAGGGCTGCGTGAGGGCCCTGCCTTTCCTCTGCCTTTCCGGCTGCCTGAGGTCCCAGGGTCAGTGGGACAAGGTCAGGTCAGGGTTCAGAATTCAAGGTTTTCCTCTGGAGGACTGGAGATCCGCAGTCATTTTGCGGGGTGAGATGTAGGTCTGTAATCTTTTCCTTTCCACTTTTCCCTCAGTGTTTCTCTATCTGAAAAAGTGGATTAAAACAAAGATCCAGGGGAACTCAGAAAGAAGAAAAAAACAAAAGACTGGAGGGGCAGAGCAGAGATAGCGCAAGGGCAATGTGCCTTGTCGGTTGCTGGTGGGGAGTACGTGCGCCTCTAGGCGGTTTCTGCTGCTACTAGTGTGAGGCTGAATGGCTAAAGGGTCAAGCAAAGGTCAGGGCTCGTCCTCTTCTACTTCCCCCACCCACCCAGGATAACCTGAAATTCACAAGAGATTGGTTATGTCTTCGCTCTAAAGCTCTCACCCAAGTCCTTTCCCAAAGCGTGTAACCTGGGGGGGCTCAGCTCTTCCGGATGTCACCCCTCCCTTTCCAACCAACCCTGCTCCTCCCCAAGGCTCATCCAGATTGTCTTGCTTCTTGATGAAAACTGGAGCGACAAACACCGTAAGAGGGATTATGTACACTTCTCCCCAGCACCCAACTACTAGTGTCCAATGCAGTTCTGGCACCATAGCGGAAATATTTCCCTCTGATCCTTCCTTCCATCAGCCCTCCTACCCTCCCATTTGTTTCCACATCATACCTCATCCCTATAAAGAAGCCCCTGCCTCTCTTTCTCTTTCTCTTTCCTTTGATCCTCTGTGGGGTAAAGGGACACAGAGAGGTCATGGTCAGGAGTAAATGTGTGTAACATGAGGCAGTACCTTTTTCTCAGAATTTTTTCTTATGGGAGAGTGACTTGACCAGAAAGGAATTGAGTGGTGTTTTGCTTTTTGGTTTTGTTTTTGTTTTTGCTTTTTGTTGCTTCCCTGAGCCCAGGGCTTTAATAACCTTAGAATTCTTTGGGGAGTAGCTGTCCATCTGTTCACGGGTTACTGTAGCTCAAAAGTGGTCCAGTGAACCAGAGGTAGATTTCTGGAAAACAGGGACTCAGGTGGAGGTGGGATCTCAACTCCTGCAGTGTTATCCTCGGGAGCTCCTGTCTTCTCCTACCTGACCCACTAGGCAAGCAGGACTGTATTTCTCCCAACGGACTAAATGAGTGACGTGATATCTTGATTGCAACAGAGAATATTTTGAGCTGGTCAAGACCCTTGCCACTTGTTTTGGTCACAGCAAGTTGCAGGTATTAGAAGTGCACCTGCTATTTCAGGGATAAAAAAGGGAAAGGGTGAGGAGATGCTGCAGAGACTAAATGGCAGTTTGTAGGAGAAACCCCCCAAACCCATCTTTGATTGCATTGGTTGTGAACCGTCGATCTGAAGAAGGACCCCAAAGTGTGCTTCAGCCTCCTGAAATGAGCTGGAAGACACTTGCTTCCTTGAAGAATCCCGATCTCATGGGATGGGGGCCTGGGCCTGGGGGCAGAGAGAGGCTCAGGTGAAAATCAAATCAAATTGCTGCCAGCAGAGGGCGCAGTTTCCAGAGCTGGCACAGAGCGGATCTCAGACTTCTGACCCAGGCGAGTCACCGCTGAACTTCTATGTGGATAAGAATTCTTGGAGTGCATCCCAGACATCTGCTTTTTTAAACAAGAACCTCAGGTCACTTGGTGCATATGGTTCACAGTCCACACTTAGGGACGTGACGGAGGAGAACTTGGGATCCTCGCATAGCCTCCCTGCCTCCACCCCAGGTACTCTCCGGTACCCCGACAGCCTCCACTTCGACAGCAAGCATCTGTATTTCAGCCAAAACAACCCCAGTGTTTAGATTCTCTG